TTTACTTAAAATTCCTCAGTGGTTTCTTATTACCTACTTAGGTAGCTGTATCTCTCACAGCTCTTTCTTTAGGAGATTTTTTTTTTTTTTTTTTTTTTGATAATGCATATGGTTTTCTTGTGAACTACTTTCCAGGGCTGACCTTGAACCTCTATCCTCCTTATCTCAGCCTATCAAGTAGTAGGATTGCAGGCGTGAGCTTCTGTTGCCTGGCTTTATATAACTTTTCTATACCAAGCATTTGAAAAGAACGATACAGCTCTAATTTAAAGAATGTGCATATATTGTAAGAACAGTCACCCTGCACCTGGCTTGTATGCCACTGAAAAGGCTCGTAAGTATAAAAGCCCAAATATTGAACTAGAGGTGTGGCTCAATTGGTAGAACACCTAATTTGCATGTGGGAGTTCAAACTCCAGTCCCACCAACATAAGAATTTAATAATGTTTGTGGTTCCCCAGCAGCACAAACTAAGAGATAGCATAGATAAATGGGACTTCATAAAACTAAAAAGCTTCTGCTCATCAAAAGAAGTGGTCTCTAAACTGAAGCGAATACCCACAGAGTGGGAGAAAATATTTGCTAGCTACATATCAGACAAAGGACTGATAACCAGAATATATAGGGAACTTAAAAAACTAAATTCTCCCAAAACTAATGAACCAATAAAGAAATGGGCAAGTGAACTAAACAGAACTTTCTCAAAAGAAGAAATTCAAATGGCAAAAAACACATGAAAAAATGCTCACCATCTCTAGCAATAAAGGAAATGCAAATTAAAACCACATTAAGATTCCACCTCACCCCCATTAGAATAGCCATCATTAGCAACACCACCACCAACAGGTGTTGGCGAGGATGCGTGGGAAAAAGGAACCCTCTTACACTGTTGGTGGGAATGTAAACTAGTACAACCACTCTGGAAAAAAATTTGGAGGCACCTTAAAAAGCTAAACATTGATCTACCATATGATCCAGCAATACTACTCTTGGGGATATACCCAAAAGACTGTGACACAGGTTACTCCAGAGGCACCTGCACACCCATGTTTATTGCGGCACTATTCACAATAGCCAAGTTATGGAAATAGCCAAGATGCCCCACTACTGACGAATGGATCAAGAAAATGTGGTATCTATACACAATGGAATTTTATGCAGCCATGAAGAAGAATGAAATGTTATCATTCGCTGGTAAATGGATGGAATTGGAGAACATCATTCTGAGTGAGGTTAGCCTGGCCCAAAAGACCAAAAAATTGTATGTTCTCCCTCATATGTGGACATTAGATCAAGGGCAAACACAACAAGGGGATTGGACTTTGAGCACATGATAAAAGCGAGAGCACACAAGGAAGGTATGAGGATAGGTAAGACACCTAAAAAATTAGCTAGCATTTGTTGCCCTCAACGAAGAGAAGCTAAAGCAGATACCTTAAAAGCAACTGAAGCCAATAGGAAAAGGGGACCAGGAACTAGAGAAAAGGTTAGATCAAAAAGAATGAACCTAGAAGTTAACACACATGCACAGGAAATTTTTTTTTTTTTTTAATTTTTATTTTTTTTTCATTTTTCTTTTATTAGTCATATGTGCATACAAGGCTTGGTTCATTTCTCCCCCCTGCCCCCACCCCCTCCCTTACCACCCACTCCACCCCCTCCCGCTCCCCCCCTCAATACCCAGCAGAAACTATTTTGCCCTTATCTCTAATTTTGTTGTAGAGAGAGTATAAGCAATAATAGGAAGGAACAAGGGGTTTTGCTGGTTGAGATAAGGATAGCTATACAGGGCATTGACTCACATTGATTTCCTGTGCGTGGGTGTTACCTTCTAGGTTAATTCTTTTTGATCTAACCTTTTCTCTAGTTCCTGGTCCCCTTTTCCTATTGGCCTCAGTTGCTTTAAGGTATCTGCTTTAGTTTCTCTGCATTAAGGGCAACAAATGCTAGCTAGTTTTTTAGGTGTCTTACCTATCCTCACCCCTCCCTTGTGTGCTCTCGCTTTTATCATGTGCTCATAGTCCAATCCCCTTGTTGTGTTTGCCCTTGATCTAATGTCCACATATGAGGGAGAACATACGATTTTTGGTCTTTTGGGCCAGGCTAACCTCACTCAGAATGATGTTCTCCAATTCCATCCATTTACCAGCGAATGATAACATTTCGTTCTTCTTCATGGCTGCATAAAATTCCATTGTGTATAGATACCACATTTTCTTAATCCATTCGTCAGTGCTGGGGCATCTTGGCTGTTTCCATAACTTGGCTATTGTGAATAGTGCCGCAATAAACATGGATGTGCAGGTGCCTCTGGAGTAACAGTCTTTTGGGTATATCCCCAAGAGTGGTATTGCTGGATCAAATGGTAGATCGATGTCCAGCTTTTTAAGTAGCCTCCAAATTTTTTTCCAGAGTGGTTGTACTAGTCTACATTCCCACCAACAGTGTAAGAGGGTTCCTTTTTCCCCGCATCCTCGCCAACACCTGTTGTTGGTGGTGTTGCTGATGATGGCTATTCTAACAGGGGTGAGGTGGAATCTTAGTGTGGTTTTAATTTGCATTTCCTTTATTGCTAGAGATGGTGAGCATTTTTTCATGTGTTTTCTGGCCATTTGAATTTCTTCTTTTGAGAAAGTTCTGTTTAGTTCACTTGCCCATTTCTTTATTGGTTCATTAGTTTTGGGAGAATTTAGTTTTTTTAAGTTCCCTGTATATTCTGGTTATCAGTCCTTTGTCTGATGTATAATTGGCAAATATTTTCTCCCACTCTGTGGGTGTTCTCTTCAGTTTAGAGACCATTTCTTTTGATGAACAGAAGCTTTTTAGTTTTATGAGGTCCCATTTATCTATGCTATCTCTTAGTTGCTGTGCTGCTGGGGTTTCATTGAGAAAGTTCTTACCTATACCTACTAACTCCAGAGTATTTCCTACTCTTTCTTGTATCAACTTAAGTGTTTGGGGTCTGATATTAAGATCCTTGATCCATTTTGAGTTAATCTTGATATAGGGTGATATATATGGATCTAGTTTCAGTTTTTTGCAGACTGCTAACCAGTTTTCCCAGCAGTTTTTGTTGAAGAGGCTGCTATTTCTCCATCATATATTTTTAGCTCCTTTGTCAAAGATAAGTTGCTCATAGTTGTGTGGCTTCATATCTGGATCCTCTATTCTGTTCCACTGGTCTTCATGTCTGTTTTTGTGCCAGTTCCATGCTGTTTTTATTGTTATTGCTTTGTAATATAGTTTGAAGTCAGGTATTGTGATACCTCCTGCATTGTTCTTTTGACTGAGTATTGCCTTGGCTATTCGATGCACAGGAAATTAATGTGAGTCAACTCCCTGTATAGCTATCCTTATTTCAACTAGCAAAAACCCTTGTTTCTTCCTATTATTGTTTATACTCTCTCTTCAACAAAATTAGAGATAAGGGCAAAATAGTTTCTGCCAGGTATCGAGGGAGTAGGGGGGAGAAGGAGGGGGCGGTAAGGGAGGGGATGGGGGCAGGGGTGAGAAATGACCCCAAGCATTGTATGCACATGAATAATAATAAAATAAAAATTAGAGAAAAAGTAATGTTTGTGGTCAGAGATTCAGGGCCACAACCTGGGTCTGTGCCTGCTTGGTCCCCAGACTTTGGATTGTACATTGAGCTTGTTGGCGAGTTGAGTTACTACATAAACTCATCTTGGCTGGGTGTGGTGATGCATGCCTATAATCTCAGGAGGTAGGATGGCAAGTTCCAGATGGTGAGCTAAATAGACCCTGAGTCAAAAACATGCTTTCCACAAACAAAAACAACTTCAAGATCTTAAGCTTCCATTTTTGAGCTTTGCTTTTGGAGAAGTTATGTAGGTAGTAGAACACTTCCTTGGCACTGCTATCTGCATCTATGAGGGAGCAATGATTTGCCACCTGTGGGGATGATTAGTTCTGCTAGATTCTAATCTATTTACCATACCTTCCAAGGGGCTTAGATAGGCTATTTTATGGCATAAGTGACTAACTCAAGGATGAAGGTTTAGGAGTCCTTATCTCAAGATATGAAATGTAGAAACTTCTTGCTTACATAATGTCACATACATAAGATACTTAAAAAAGATCTTTGTGATTCTTTTCTGCAGTGGCTTTCCAATACACTTAGAATAAAACTCAAATTTTTCATCTTAACTTAAAAAGCTCATCTACTTACAAAGCTCATCTCATTTCATTTACCATCCTTCCTTGTGCTTGATACATTTTTGCATAGATAATCTTTACATGGTTGATTCCTTGTTAATTACAGATTGCTGAAAAGTGTTCCTCAGAGACCTGCCTTATGACCAGGTCATATTCAATCACTAACATAAGCCTGTTTTTTAGTCACTAACATAAGCCTGTTTTTCATCACAAGGACCTCTCCCACCCCTTTTTTTGGTGATATCGAAGTTTGAACTCAGGGCTTCACGCTTGCTATGCAGGTGATGTACTACTTGAGCCCCTCTACCAACCCTTTTTTTGTGTTCGATATTTTTGAGATAGGGTCTCCCAAACTGTTTGCCTGGGTTGGCTTCGAACAGCAATCCTCCTGATCCCTGCCTCCTGAGTAGCTAGGATTACAGGCATGAGTCACCAGTGCCAAACTAGAATATAATGTTCTTTAGAGCCAGGTCCATTTATGTATTGTAAAGTGCTCTGTTCACAGAGTTTAGAGCAATATCTGGCACAGAATAGGTACTTAAATATTTGTTGACCAGGATTATCCACGTACTTTTAATATGTCAGAGTTATGGGACTATTTATGCTTACAATGGGAGTCTTGATGGATATTTGAGTGTGTGGTGTGGCAAAGTTCAGTATTTACTTGCTAAGATGAGATGAAATCCAATGTTGATCAATAAAATTAGTAAATATTTTAGAACAGAGCTTTTTCTGTGAGTAAACCTAATATGCTCTATCTGAAATTAAATTGATTTTAGGATTAAATTAACCTCTCAAATACTGAAATGTTTTCTCTTTTACAGTAATCTCAGCAAAACTTAAAGAAAATAAAAAGAATTGGTTTGGACCAAGCCCTTATGTAGAAGTCACAGTAGATGGACAGTCAAAGAAGACAGAAAAATGCAACAATACAAACAGTCCCAAATGGAAGCAACCTCTTACAGTGTACGTGTTTAAAAGTATTTTCTACACCATAATGTTTTGTTTAGTAGATAAACAGAAATGCAGTTTAATGCATTTTTTTTTACTCCTATTTTTTTTTTCTTTTACCTATTTTCTCCTGTTTCTTCTCTGTTCTTCTGGTTTCTTTCTTTCTTCTTTTTTTAATCTTCTCTAGTTTTCTTGGTGACTATTGTCAAGTGGCCATTGCCACTGAACACTAAGTGGGAAGATCCCATGGTCATGGACCTAGGAAGATTTTATTTTCTTAACTTGGGGTTGAATTGATGGTTCTACACAGCTTGTTTTATTTTATTTTGTAACATTTTTATTTTCATTTGTTTTTTGAGATAGTATCTCACTAGAACTTGCTGTGTAGTGCAGGCTGACAAGTGCTGAGATTACAGGCATGCATCACCATGCCTGGCACTTAATTTTGAAAAGATTTTTTGAGGCTGAGCATGATGGAACAGGCCTATAGCCCTGACAGTTGGGAGGCTAAGTAATGCAGGAGGATCAAAAATTCAAGGGCAACCTGGGCTACTTAATGCAACTATATCTCAAAAAATAGTTTGTTTTTTAAATTCTAGTGCCCCTACATTATAACATGTAGTTTACTTCTATTTTTAAAATATTTTACTATACATCTTATTCTATAATTTTGTTTTTGTGCTTAACACTTGTATCATGGTTATCTATTTAGCTGAGTATATATGCGTTTAATATCCCTCATTACCTACATAGTATTTTAAAAATATAGATGGACTATAATTTATTTTAATAGTTTTCTGTTGATTGATTAATTTTTTTTTAACATTTTGTAATATATTGGATAAATGCTTTTGTGTGTGTGTGTGTGTGTGTGTGTGTGTGAGACTGGGATGTGAACTTGGCTTCATGCTGCTTGTAAAGCAGGTGCTCTTCCCTTCGAGCCAAACCTCCAGTCCGTTTTGCTCTGGTTATTTTGGAGATGGGGTGTTGCAGACTATTTGCTGGCCTTAAACCATAATCCTTTTAATCTCAGCCTCCTAAGTAGGTAGGATTATAGGCATCTGCCACTAGTGCTTGGCTGTATTTTGTGACATAAAATCATAAAAGTAATATAAACTCCATTTTCAGCATTTATTGACAAAGCCTTAGATGTTGGTATTATAACCTAAGATGTTGAGTAGTCATTGAAGGGAATTAGTCTTTAGCTATACCACCCTGAACATGTATAATTTCATCTGAAGGAAATTATAAGTGAATTTAAATTTTTAAAAATTCAGCAAATTTTAAAATAATATATATTTGATTTGGGAGAAACAAATACTTATTAGAATGTGGATAGAAATTTAACCAGTTATTACCATACCGAATTTATACTATTTTCATTTTTAAAAATTTTGGAATTTTTGAATTTCTTTTCCTCAGACAAACTAATGACTAGGAAAAAAAATTTATTTTTAAATGGTGAGATGAGAATTAGAAAACTATAAACTGTCCTCTTCATACAATGAAAACTTACATGGGTTGTACTACTTATTTCTAATTAATAATAAAACAAATTGGTACACCTATATCTTTAATGTGAATTTTTGACGTTCTAGGAGCATCTTGATGTGCTTTATAATTTTTAGCAAATGAAATTTAATTAGTGAAGATCACCTTTGATTCATTTGTAGAATTGTCTTTGTTTTTTAGTACTGGGGTTTAAACTCAGCCTCGCACTTGCTAGGCAAGCACTTTTCCACTTGAGCCACTCCACTGTCCCTTTTTTGTGTTGGGCATTTTTAAGATAGGGTCTCTTGAACCATTTGACCGGACTGGTCTCATACCATGATCTTCCTGATCTCTGCCTTCTGAGTAGTTGGGATTGCAGGTGTGAGGTACTGATGCCTGGTCTGGAATTGTCATTCTGATACTTCTAATTGTATATCAACATTAATGTTACTTAGGCTTCCTGTTGTAAATTAGTGATCCATTATAGATAAAGTGTAAATTTAACAGTGGTACACACCTGTTGTAATCTAAGCTACTCGTAAGGTAGAGATCAAGGCCAGCATAGGCAAAAGGTAGCAGAACCTTTATCTCAACCAACATGTGATGGTAGTATACTGTTATAATCCCAGTTAGAGGAAGGCAGAGGTAGGAGGATCTTGATCTAAGGCTAGCCCTGGGCAAAAATTCGAAATCTTACCAAAAAAAGTGTTGAGTACCTGCCTACTAAGAGTGAGGCCCTGAATTCAACTCCCAGTACCACCAGCAAAACAAAACACTAATCTCCCCCCCCCCCCCCCCCCCCCCGAGAAAATCAAAATAACTCTTCCAGTATATGAGGAAATGTTAAAAGAAAAAAAAAATGGTGGTGGTACTGGGGTTTGAACTTAGGGCCTCATACTTGATAGGCAGGTGTTTTGCCAATTTGAGCCATACTGCCAGCCCAGTTCACTCATAACAGTTTGTTGCATTATCAGCATTTTAACTTTTGTTAACAACATGTATGTGAACTTTGCCTGATAGTTTTGCCACAAGTGAAAATGATCATGTAAGCATGTAGTATTTAAATATAATTTTCATAAGACTATAGAATATAGGTCACTTGGTTGTACTTAGACATTAAAACTTAATTGTAATTTATTTAGGATTCCATTATGATAGTTAATGAAAATAATATTTTCTCCCTTTTTTTTTTTTTTTTTTTTTCACTTTTAGTATCGTTACCCCAGTGAGTAAATTACATTTCCGCGTGTGGAGTCACCAGACGCTGAAATCTGATGTTTTATTGGGAACTGCTGCATTAGATATTTATGAAACATTAAAGTCAAACAATATGAAACGTATGTATGGTGTAAGAGTAATAGAAATTGTGCTTAGTTGTTTGTTTTTCTGGAAAAAATTTATATGGCAAACATGCAGAATGATTCACATTTACTATTTGCTGTTAAGTTTATTTGGTTATAGGATTAATAAAGAGAAGACTCTTGAACCATTTAAAGCATTTTGACTAACGTTGGTTTGGCCATTCACTTTGGATATAGTATTTTTAGTAAATAATTATTTCCTTAGTAAATAGGTATTATTAAAATAACATGTAGTCCATTATGGGAAAACTAAATGAAAGAAATGAAAATCTTACTATGTTTGATATCTGGATTTTTGTATTGTTTTGTTTGCTGGTGGGACTGGGCTTTGTGCTTGCAAAGCAGGCACTCTACTGCTTGAGCCACTATTTAAGTTTCTTCATTTAGGTGATTGTAATTTTTATTTACACTTATAAAACTTGTAGCTCATTTATTTTAATGGTCACATCACAAATTTAAAACTTTTTTTTTTTTTTGGTGGTACTGTGGTTTTAATTCAGTGCCTACATCTTGAGCTACTCCACCAGCTGTTTTTGTTTGTTTGTTTTGTGATGGATGTTTTCAAGATAGGATCTTCAAACTATTTGCCCAGGCTGGCTTTGTACCGCAGTCCTCCTGATATCTGCCTTTTGAGTAGCTAGGATTATAACTATGAGCCACTGGCCTGACATTAGATTTTTAACAGTTAAGATGGTCTGTGGGAGAAAAGTGACCATTGTTGTATAATTTTGTTCTCTTTCAGTTGAAGAAGTGGTTGTGACTTTGCAGCTTGTAGGTGACAAAGAGCCAACAGAAACAATAGGAGACTTATCAATTTGTCTCGATGGTCTGCAACTAGATGCTGAAATTGTTACTAATGGTGAAACTACATGCTCAGAAAGTAAGTGATCTTGGTTTTTTTCTTTTGGAGACAGGGGTCTCATTGTGTTGACCTCTCTATCCTCCTGCTTCAGTTGACAGAGTGCTGGGATTACCAAGGTGTATCATTGTGCCTGACTCAGTGATCACATTTCTTTTTTTTTGGTGGGACTGAGATTTGAGATGGGGTCTTGAACTATTTGCCTAAGCTGGCCTTGAATCTTGATCCTCCTGATTTTAGCCTCCCAAGTCCCTAGGATTATAGGTGTGAGCTGCTGACACCAGCTCAGTGATCATTTTTTGTTTAAGGTCTTTTATTATTCTTTTGACATAAAATAGCTACTGTAGGACTGAGATGTGCCTCAAGTGGTAGGAGGTTCTGAATTCAATCCTCAGTACCACCCCCCAAGATAGAAAAGAAAATAAAAAATAGCCACTATGGTATGCTGTCTGTAATTACTGTTATTGCTATTTTTCTTCTTTTTAAAGAAATGATTTAATTTCCTTTTTATTTATTTATTTATTTATTTGCGGTACTGGAGCTTGAACTCAGGGCCTTCACCTTGAGCCAGTCCACCCACCCTATTTTTGTGATGGGTTTCGAGAACTCTTTGCCCGGTCTGACTTCAAACCAAGATCCTCCTGATCTCTGCCTCCTGAGTAGCTAGGATTACAGGCATGAGCTAATGGCACCCGGCTTTTATTTATTTTTTTGGGTCAGCACTGCAGTTTGAACTCAGGGCCTGCACTTGCTAGGGCCTCCACTTGAGCCATACTTACAGCCCGTTATTTTCCTTTTCCTTTCCTTTCTTTACTTTTTCTTTTTTCTTTTTAACAAACAAACGATCATTTTAAGCATTTTTCATTTTATTTTTCCTGCATTGTTTCTATAAAATTATATTTTTCTATAAGTTGAAAAGTTGACTGAATTAAAAGTTGAATGAGAATTGGCCCTGTGAGTATAGAATTGAGTTATAAAATACATTTTGTATGCTGATGGTACCAGTTAATATGGTATCTTTGATGCTATACCTGCTCCAATCCCTATGGCAGATAACAGACAATACATTTTGATTGCATTTAAACATGACTCCCAAGTCCTTGTTCGTAGTGTACCAGTCAACTAGTACAAACTGATTTCCATTTGCTCCAATTTCTCCAAGCTATGCTTACACTTAAGACAGCTACACTATCTTTTGTGTTATTATACTGACAAAACTTACTTCATCTTATGTATGCTGGTGTGCTTTAGAATTTAGGATTTACTGATTTGTGTTAAAGGGGAATAAACATAAGCCTTTATTAAAAAGTTTCTGGTGGCACCAGAGCGTCTGATAGCATGTTTAGTAAAACTTCTACACAGTTTTCTAACAGATATTTCCATAATTTAGTAATGTGCTAAGTTATTTAATAGTGTACTCACTTTTAACACAGATTTTAAGGGCCTCAAGACAAACAGCAGATTGTTTCTTTGATTAGTGTAACAAAGACCTTTTTGTTTACTTAGAAATACAGTATGAAACATTTTTCAATTGTTAGGCACTGTTATTCTGTTTCTATATTGGTGGAGGACTTCCTACTTCCTCTTCAACTCATAACTTTTGTTCATAGCAGAACCTTCAGGATAGTCCTGAAGTGTCTTTCAGATTATTTTTTTCTAGGTGAGTGAGGGTGGAGGGAAATTTCTGGAATAGTTAAAATGCTTCAGAATCCACACTTTACTGACTACTCTTGACAGGAAATCTATAATAGTTCACTATATATGTATATGTATATATATATTTATATGTATGAATATATGTGTGTATATGTGTGTATGTATATATATGTTGGAAGTCGGAAAGTTAAAATACAAGTTAAATTATATTGTTAAACTGCCTTCCCTAAACCTTGCTTCTTAAGTGTTTTTCCCTAGTAGTTGAAATTATTAATGCAAAAGCAGAGCCTGTCAGTCTTCATATTTCCTAGTAGGATCAGAGCTGCAAATATATTTATGACTTTATTGTCTATTTCCTACAGTAGTTGACATTTCTATATAAACATTTTTCAGCTCAAGTATGAAAATAACTGACAGTGACAATTTAACTTGATTCTTTGTAATAAAAAGAGGTTTAACTGGGAAGTCATGGTGAATTTTAGAACTGGATTTGCCAGATAGGTACAGTACCTGCCATTTGTTGAATGCTTACTATAAAATTGGAGCATATTCTTATATAGAACTCTCTCCCCCCACCTTTTCCCTGTCTCTCCCCCTCCCTGTTTTTACTTCCCCTCCCCCTTCCCACTCTCTTCTTTCTTTTGCTGTGCAGGGGATCAAACCCATGGCCATTAAACTACACCCCCAGTCCAAGATATTTATTCTTTACCATTTATATTCTGATTAATCCCTAAATTAATTTTAAGTTTTGGAATATGTGACTTTTGGGTCTTATTTTAATTTTTATTAATTTTTATTTATTTTTTATTATCATATTATTGTTGTACTGGGAGTACATTGTGACTTTTACAAATGTACTTACAATATATCTCAGTTAAATCCACCCCCTCCAGCTGGACAGTGGTGACTCACACCAAGATCAAGAGGATCTCAGTTTGAAGTCAGCCCCTGTGCACATATCAAAAGACCCTATCTTGAAAATAGCCAAAACAACAAAGGGCTGATGGAGTGGCTAAAATGGTACAGCGCCTGCCTAGCAAGTATGAGGCCCTCAGTTCAAATTCCAGCATTGCCAAACCAAACCAAAACACCAGTTTTGAGGGTAGGAATCCATTATACTCTTGCCTGTGTTGATTGGCTTATTTCTTTCTGCCTGTTCTGAACTTAAGTGGTAGAGCACTTGCCCTACCTGCCTAGCAAGCATGAGGCCCTGAGTTCAAACCTCAGTACTACCAAAAAAAAAACCTCCCCTTTTATCATTTCCTTTATCCCACCTCTCGCATTCTACACCCTTTCCTTATATCCTTCCCCTCCCATTGGTACCAACCCCCCAGACAGGACCTGTTTTACCTTCCTGTCCTCCATTTTTGAAAAAAGAATAAAAACAAAAATCATTTTGTTTAAGAGCTCTATACAGGGAGTATCATTATGACATTTCTCTGTGTGTGTGTGTGTGTGTATTATATCCCAAATTTGTTCATCCCCTCTATTTTTCTCCTTTCTACCTTAGTCCTCTTCTTTACCATTTATACACTGATTGTATTTAAAATTAATTTAGGGATAGGTTTTGGAATATGTGACCTGTGGTGATCCATTTCTTTTTAATTTTGATTATTTCTTGCATTAGACTCTAGTTTTGTGGTATAATTGACTTTTTGGTAAATAGCTATTTTCAGGTTGAATTTTTTTTTTTTCTTTTAAGTGATACTGGGGTTTGAACTCAGGGATTAATGCTTGCAAAGCTGGAGCACTACCATTTGAGCCATGCCAGCAGTCCATTTTGCTCTGGTTATTTTGGAGATGGGAGTCTCTTGAACTATTTGTCTAGGCTAGTCTCTAACCATGATCCTCCCAAGTAGCTAGGCCTATAGGCTTGTGCTACTGGCACCTTGGCTGAATACCTTGATATTTCTTACTAGTGCAATAAATTCTAAGAAATTAGCCTAAAGTTTTTGCTTTTATTTGAAGTTACTAGATCTCAACTGAGTCTGTATAAACTAATTTTATAAAGAGAAAATTTGCTATAATGTTTTTGAATTATATTTGAACATTTTTCTACGTATGCTCAGACTATTAGATAACTTATCACTACAAAAATGTCATTAAAATTCCTTTGCTACATTTTAATATTTTTGTTTTACTTTGAGTGCTACTTAAAAATTTTAAGTATTAAGACTATTGGCATATATGGCCATTATTGCCTTCAGCTAAGACTTCACTGTATTCTTCACTAATTTTTTTCAGTATCCAAAGCACTTTAATTCATATTCTCATATTTTGCATATGTTTAAAATATAATCCAGCATAATTAAATGAGCACTCATAAAAACTACCATACAGCTTAAAAATTACAACATTATCATTGCATTCACCTGCATATTTCCTGTATCATTCTTTATCTTTCTTGTGGTGATAATCACTATTCTGAATGGTGGTTTTTTTATTCATTCATTCATTCACTTTTGAGTGCTGGGGATTGAACCCAGGGTGCATGCCAGGCAAGCAGTGTACAAATGAGCTGCATCCCCCCGATAGTATTCTGAATTTTGAATTTATCATTTCCTTGGTCTTCATAACTTTTTATCATGTGTGATATATAAATAGTATGTTACTTGTGCTTTTTCTTGAGCTACATAAAAATATCAACATTACCTTTAAAATTTACCTATATTATTGTTTATAAGCTGCTGTGTAACAGTGTGTTAAGTGAATATGCCAAGTTTATCCATTTTTATGTCAAAAGACATTTGGATTGTTTTCTAATTTTTTTGCTAATATAGACAGTGATACAGTGAACATTTTTGTGTATGTCTGTTGGTACACAGGTTCAAGGGTCTGTGTAGCATATATCCTCGGGAATAGTTTTGTAAGTAATGATATTTGCATCATCTGCATTGCACCATTTCTTCTTCTTTGAATATGCCCCTCTTTTACAGTTTTCAAATTTTTGGTGAAATTTACATATCATAATTAACTGTAATCAGTTGTAATTCAGTGGCAGTTTTCCTAATGATTGATGCACATCCATCCATTATCTTTCTCGTTTCAGTACAAGACCCATAGGAAAATACCCCATTTTCTCCTTCCCAGCCCCTGGTAATTCCTAATCTGCTCTCTGTCTCTGGATATCTCTGTTCTGTATATATTATATTAAAGGAGGCATAATTAACTTTTGTGTCTGAATCATTAGCATAATGTTTTTGAGGTCTGTTTAAGTTGTAGCATCGATCAATACTTCCCTTTTATTCCTGAATAATTTTTCATATATAATGCCATCATGCTCATGGCCTCAAACTGTGATCCTTCTGATCTCAGCCTCCCAAGTAGTGAATTACAGGTATGAGTCATTGGCAACTGGCTTAGAAAATTTCTCTTGATTTTGCTGGATGCCAGGGTGTACCACAGACTAAGAAACATGTTAGCTCCTTTCCAGGTTCCCAGCCTAATGGGAGTCTCTGGCTCAGCATTCCCACCTTGATGCAAGCCCAAAGTTTTTTGATCCTTCTCAGAGCTGATAATTGCCACAGGTATCCCCAGTTTTCATATATAACACTGTCTTGTTCCTGCTGCTCCATATTCACTGTTTTGTTTGGTTTTGAGATTGCTAGGCACCTCTGAAATAGGAACAGTAGGTTAAATTGCTTTATGTAGGAGCTAGTATTTTGTGGTGGGAGAGCCCCTTGAATTAGTTCACTGAGTAGAAGAGATTTTTGTAAATCTTCCAGAGTTTAAAGTGGGTTAGCATGTGTATATTGGAGTCTAATCAGTTTTTCTTGATAAAATTTGGGTTGGGAGTGTTTTAAAGAACATTTTTAAAATGTAACATGAAATATAGTTACTGTTCTCTTCATAAACATTATTACATGAGTGTCAGATTTTCTTTTCTTTCTTTCTTTCTTTTTTGGTACTTGTGTGAGTCATTACCCCCCAGCACCGCCCCCCCCCCCAGTCCTTTTTGACTTAAGTGATTTTTTTTTTTTTTAAAGTGGGAGTGGGGTTTCATCTAAGGGTTTCGTGCTTTCAGCAGGCACTCTACCACTTGAATCACACCTCCGGTTCATTTTCCCATTTTGCTCTGGGGCGATGAGTGGGGCGGCAGGTCTTGCCAAACTATTTGCCTGGGCTGGCCTTGAACCTCGATCTTCCCAATCTCAGACTCCCAGTTAACTAGGATTACAGGTGTGAGTCACCAGCACCCAGTTTGCTTTAGTGATTTTTGGAATAGGGGCTCTCATTTCTGCCCAGACAGCCTCAGACCTCGATCTTTCTCTATGTGTTACCACCTTTTTTGTGGGATTGCAGTTGTATACAACCACATTTGTCTTGTTTGTTGAGATTGGGTCTTGCTGACATTTTTTTTTCTTGGACTGGCCTCGAGCTATGATCCTCCTGATTTCAGCCTCCCTGGTAAACTGGGATTATAGACAAATGCCACTATGCCCAGCAGGTCGTATCTCATATATCCTAAAATGCATTTGTTTCAAGTGTACAGTTAATGATTTTTCATAACTTAGAGATCCAACTCTCATTATGTCAGGTTTAGAATTCTTTTTATTCCTCCATTAAAATCCTTCCTTTCTATTTATAGGAAATCCTGTTTCTTATCTAGCCCCAGGGAAACCACTACTCTGTCTTTTTTGGATTTTTATGTAAATGGATTCATACAATATGTGGTCTTTTGTGCCTGGCTTCACTTAGCATATTTTTGAGGTACATCTATGAGATAACACTTCAATAATTTTTAAAAAATTATAAAATAATTTAAATAACTAAAAAGGATGGTTTTTCATTGCCTAGATAATACCACATTTAATGTATCCATTCACTTGTATCAATATAGAAATGTGTATTACTATGATCTCTAGCAGTATAAAAAAAAAAAACCAAAAATACATTTCTAGACTGACATTTGTCAGCCTTACTAAGTATATTATAGTATGTTTGTGACTCGGCATCTTTTTAATGAATTGATCCATTATAGAATGCTCTTGTGTAATATTGTCATGATTGTATCCAGGGAGTATTGTTCTTTTTACCAAATGTACGTAAATAATTAAGCTTAGTTATTATTTCTGTATTTCAGAGTTTTTTTTTTTTTCCTTTGTGTATGTAATGTGTTTTTGCTGCTATCAGTGTGCCTCTAACACAGTTCACAGGCCCTGACAGTGCAAGGGCCTGAGAATCATGAGGAAAAAATAAACATTGTGCCATTCGCTTGGCCACTTTGAGAGTTACTTGTGCTTTTCTATACTTTAATCTGTTTTCCCAGCTCCTGTGTAAGAGAGTTGTTACTGCTTTCCTGTTGTTTTACTGACCATGCTGCTGTGCATCAGTACTTTTCTTGAGGTATTTAGGGTACAAAAGATGGTTAAATACTAGGTTCGATTTAGAGACAAACATTTCAAAAAAGGCAGAAGTAGTACATGGATATTATATCTTAACTATTTAACCTGTCTTACACATAATAATAAGCATTTGTATCATTTTGATAAAACTTATTTCAATCATATATTTATCGTATTTTCCCTTTTTAAAACTCACGTTGGACTTCTGGAATGGCTCAAGAGGTAGAGTGCCTGCCTAGCAAACATGAGGCCTGAGTTCAAAGTCCACTACTTCCAAAATAAATAAGTAAATAAATAAATCTTATGTTGGAATTTAAGTTTTTTCTTTTGCAGTGCATGGGTTTTGAACTCAGGGCCTTATGCTTATTAAGCAGGCATTCTTCCACTTGAGCCACTCCTCCAGCCTGAAGCTATGTTCTTTATTAGAAAGGTTTAATAAAAGGCTTTATAGCTGGGCACTGGTTGCTCTTGCCTGTAATCCTGGCTGTTTAGGAGGAAGAGGTAAATAGGATTGTGGTTTGAAACCAGCCCAGGCAGATAGTTTGTGAGACCCTATCTTGAAAATACTCAACACAAGAAAGGACTGGCAGAGTGGCTCAAGTGGCAGTGCGCCTGACTAGCAAGCATGAGGCCCTCAGTTCAGACCTCAGTACAATAAATAAATAAATAGCTTTACTTTCGTGGCATATTTAGAAAAAAAAGTTGAAAACTATTCTCTTGAAACTTATCATCTGTTTAAATTTTATTGATGTTAAAGGTACTTCACAGAATGATGATGGCTCTAGACCCAAGGATGAAGCAAGGTAAGAGCTCACTGATTGCATACCACAGAATGCAAAGACATACAAGGGAGAATTAATGTAGATTAATTAAAATTTCAGGTTCACATTGATACAAGAGTAAATATCAAAAAGAATTCAAGATTCAAGGTAAGAAGAGAAATACCTGAGAAAGATATAAGACTATCTGATTGCAGCTGTCCTGTGTAGGCCAAAAATGATGAAATTGCTGACACTTCCTTAAGCTTGAAGAATGTGAATATATTGGCACTTTTAAAAGGGAACCAGTTCTGAATCAGTGATAGCTTTGCATATGTGCAAAGGTCACTACTAGATGTGCTATCATCTGGGTCTTCATAGATTTGTTCCAACTGCTTGCTATTAAGTTAGGGCAAACAAATAAGCACTGTTTTGTGCTTATCTGCTTACAGATGTGGTCCTAAAATATGTTGAAAGCTTTGACTTATGTTAATTTACTTAAACTTTTGTATATTGGTTATCCTGCATACTGGTAATGGGGATAAAAATTGGGAAATTTTCCTACTCTTAAAGCTATAAGTGACATGTTATAAAGTCACATTGGAATCTGTTTTTCACAAATTGTTTAAGAAGTGGGTAGGAAGAAGGAGCATTGAAGGAGTAGCCAGGCATGGTGGTATAGGCATGTAATATCAGTATTTTGGAGGATCAAAAGTTTAAGGTCAGCCTGGGCTACATAGTAAGACTGTCTCTGAACAAACAAACAGAAGGAATAGTTAGGGAAGAACCTGAAAATCAGTGTCACAGAACAGAAAGGAAGCTGGCAGAGTGCCTCAAGAGGTAAGAGCACCTGCCTAGCAAGCATGAGCTCCAGAGTTCAAACCCTAGTGCTGCCTAAATAAATAAATGAATAGAATAGAATAGAATGGGAAATTATCTAGAAAGACAGTTTTGTAGTGTCAGGTGCTGCAGGGGAAGATAGGTAAAGCACGTAGAGCAAAATGTTGATGATTGTTGAAACGGGATTGACAGATACATGGGATTTGTTGTCTTAGCTACTTTAATAATATATAAAAATTTTCATAATAAAACATTTACAAAGACAACTTATCAAAATCTTTTGGAAGTGGGTGTAGTTGCATATACCTAATTCTAGCACTCAGTAGGTTGAGCCTGGTAGATCATGAGTTAGGCTGCTGGGCACTGGTAACTCACACCTAGTAAACCTATCTACTCAAGAGGCAGAGATCAGGAGGATCACAGTTTGAAGTCAGCCTGGGCAAATAGTCGGGAAACCCTATCTCAAAAATACCCAACCAAAAACGGACTGGTGGAGTAGCTCAAATGGTAGAGTGCCTGCCTAGCAAGCATGAGGCCCTGAGTTCAAACCCCAGTACCACAAAAAAAAAAAAGGTGGAGGCCAACTTGAGCCATATAGTGAGTTTTGAGACCATTTTGAGCTATGTAGCCAGACCTTCTGTTAAAAAAAGAAAACAATCTTTAGAAAAATCAGTTTATAAAGTGGTTGTGTCTTATTAAATAGAAATCTACTTTCATAGAGTCACTCCTGTGACAAAGACTCATGTTCTATACCAATCTTGCAAGTGGTAGGAAATAAGGTGTTGTAACTTCTTGCTTGAGTAATTACTTTTTTCACTTTTCACTGTAAGTGAAAAGTAATGGAAAAGATTTTTAAAATAAAATAAATATATCTATAGATTGGAAGACAACTTCATATGCTTCTTTTGTCACTTTTTAGTATTAAATTTAGTATTCAATTTTTTAAGTTTCTGCAATTGCCGTTCTATTTTGTTGTTTTCTTGAGACAAGGTTTCACTATATCCCAGACTGCACTCGAACCTTTGATTCTCTTGCTTTACTTGGGAGAGTATTAGGATTACCTGTATGTACCTCCATTGCTCAGTCATAAAATATTTGATTATTTCAGTTTGCTTCAGTCATTTAACTCCTTTTTCACATAAATTAACCGTATCTTTGCATTCAAAGTGAGAATGTGATAATGCTCTTTAAGAGGTTCCATTACTATACTGTGTTGCTTGTGTTTCTTTTTTTTAGATCTTTTTCTTACAATATTTATGAAACCATTTGTTCTCTTGACATTTTTTGCAGAAGCCCTCCTAGAGTCCCAGCTTTATGCCATTTATTTAATCAGTGCTTTATATCTTCCCAAATGCCCAAATGAATGATTATTGTAAATATTTTCAGGAAATAGTGTCTTCTGGGGTTTCTATGCTTGCCTGACAAATCTTTCAATGTGTCTTTTGTGTTGAGCATAATTCCTGTTCATTGATTTTTATTACAGAGGACTTACCTCTGATATGATGTGTTTGAAAAGCATTTTGTAAACTGTCAAATGTGGTTTAAATGTTACTTCTATTAAAAACTCCTTAGACCAATTAAATTTAATAGAGTTTAAGTATACTAAAACAAAAATGATTTGTGAATCTGCTTACAGAGCCAGAGTAGGTTCTGAAAACTACAACCATGTGTGACACAACATTTATGAGAAAAGAAAAGCAAGACATCGAAAATGTAATCAACCAGTCAGTTGATAACAGCTTAGTTACTTATTTATAGTCTAATCAGTTAACCAGCTACAGGGCCTCCTGCTCAGTTATTGTGATCAAACACTATTGGTTTGGCTGTTGCGTCCAGTGCGAGCACCTGGTCCAAATACATGGCCTAAATGTGATTTAATGCTACACACACTGTGTAGTATTCATGGCCATGGCTGCCTTTCCTCCTTCACATTTGTTGGCAGATTTTATAACTGTCAGACTAAAAGGCAGAGCAACATAAAGAATGGCTTCATCCCCCATAGTTATTGTTTAGGAAATTTAAACAACCTTAGGTTATTTTACCTTTTGTCCTAATTTAAAAACTGTCAATTAGTGTCATGAATATAGTCTTGTCAATCTGCTTTCTCCATAATATATCTGGATGTTTTATATTTCTCAGTATTCTATCATTTGTATGAAGTACCAAGATGATTGGTGCCTCATGTTCAAGATTTTGTGTTAGATGAGCCTTATCGATTGTTATCCTTTGATTTGAATATTTATTACAACCTTATACTAACATGTTGATTCTCCATGGGTCTCTATCCTATGCATAGACATTTGTGCTTATATATAGGTTTGATGTGTACACACACACATTCACACTCACACACAGTAAAATAAGCTGAGATTTGTGAAAGTGTGAAGGAAAGGAACATAGCTATAATAGTACATAGTTAGTAACTAATTGCTTTCCAAAAGTGGTGGTGTTGATTTCACTGAAAATTGTATATAGTGTGTAGGTTTCATGTTGGCTCTTAAAATCTTAATTTCCAGTTCAGTTCTGTATTTTATTAGAAGAGCTTGAAGTTATAAAGAGAACTATATTAAATCATCAATGCTATTTTAGTATGACTGTGCTTCTGAAGCTTTAGAATACATAAGAATCACCTAGAGGACTTGTGTTAAAATCTGTTAAAATACGTATTCCTAGGTCTCATCCATAAGTTCCTGATTCATTAGCTCTGGGTGGGACAAGGTTTGCCTTTCTAAAAAATTTTAAGGATGCTGCTAGACCAGAGCCTACATCTTGAGAAGCAGTGTGGTTAGACACATGGGTTTTTTGAGATTACATCAAACTATTTGGGGATGTCTTTGTAGTTATATAACAAGATCAGTTTCTTGGAAGCCAAAGCTTACAGAATTTGCTGGAAATGTCACTCCATCTTAATTTTGTATTCTTTTGCTTCAGAACCTGTTGAGTCTTTTAAATTGTTTTTGCTTTTATGTTTAAGAAAATAATATAGGATTCTTTTAAAAATGTAAATAAAGCAATGTTAAGAATACAATGTGTGAATGACTCATGGATGACATAACAGTTGACCTAAGACCTTAAAAGTACATTATAATTTAGATATGCATGTCTTAGAGGAAGGGAAAGGAATTTTAGGTAGAAGGAAGAAAAATAAAATCATGGAAATGAGAACAGCCAGGGTTGTTTTATGGGGAATCTTCGGTCACAGCCTTTTATTGATGATAGGGCAATTAAAAGAGAAATGGCAACTGGTCAATTTCAGAAGGGAATCAGTCACTTTATACTTACTGCCTCTCATGTGGTAGGTACTATACAGAATATATTTCTTAGTTTTTTTTTTAGTTAATCCTTAAACATTTCTGTGAAGTAGGTACTATTGTTTCATTTTTATAGATGATGAGAAAACTGAGCTCAGAAAGGGAAGGAAACTTGTCTGAGTTAATAGTGTATATGGCACAGTTGAACCTGGGGATTCCCTTACCTTCAAAGCTTGAGATCATAACCATCATGCTTTACTGCCATCTGAAGTTGGAATGATATATAAGTAAATGCTTAGCCTTTGATAAATGTTAGCTATCTTTAATATGAGAGAAGTTATGGCCAAATGGAGTTGGTTTGCAAGTAAAGACTGAGATGGAGTCCCCCCACCGAGAGGAATATTTTAAAAAATACTTGGATGGGATTGGTATGATCAGAACTCTATAGGAAAAATTATTTTATTTGGAAATAGTACATATTGTAGTTTGGGTTATGTGGTATGAGTAAAGATGTGAAAAGCTACTATAGCATTGTAACAAGTGGTAATGAAGGCTAGAACTGGGACAGTGATGGTGGAGGAGTAAAGGGAGACCTGTCAAAGTTGGATCAAGAGTGTTTTTTTTTTTTTTTGAGACAGGGTCTTACTATGTAGTCCTGGGTTGGCCTTGAAGTTGTGATCCTCATGTTAATCCACTCAGCCTCCTGATTGGAACTTAGATACATTGAATATCTGGAGGCACAGGGGGAAGAAAAGTAAAATTTCCTGGGAGAATAGCATTGTTAGTGATAGAAGCAAACCATAGAAGGGAGAGTGGCTTTAGGATTAGAGCATTATTCTAGATATCCTGCAGCATTTTTTTTTAATATATAATTTGATACCAGGATTGCAGGGAGTCAGTGTAGAGATTATTATTTGGGAATTGTCCTCAGAGGTAGTCTTCAAAAATCATGGA